GTCTAAAATGGTTAAATAGTTAAAATATGATAATGCAAAAATATAGTACGAGGAATTAGGAATACAAATCTTCCTTATCAGCAAAAAAATTATTCATGGCACAAGGTTTTTTAGAAAGAAGGTACGACAAACCTGTGCTCTATTGTGTAATGTTAAGCGGAGATAAGGAACTGATAGTTCACCAAGTAGGTCGCGCACTATGTAATAGTATTCAGAGAGGCCGTAGAAAGCCATTTGATCGAATCGAATGGCAGGTTGGTGTTTTCCAGCAATAGAACATGGAGGTGTAGAACAAGAGCGATTTTTGCCAAGAAGAGGCTGCTGAGCAATAATACAATGAGCTATAAGCCCGGTTCCCTGAAGAGGAAATCCAGAGAAGTGTTTAATCCAATGTTTAATTATAGATTTAGGGAGAAAAGGGAATAGGAACATACTAAGATAAGTATAGTGAAATAATTAAAATAAAAATGATATAGTGAATTGGATATATCAAAGATTAAAAAAATAAATATTGGAATGACTTTTAATGCAAGTGGTTATTTGAAGAAAGGTAAACGCGCTTGAATTCGGTATGGAAAGAATGTGATTTTTAACACCCTGGCCAAATTAACGATATGGTCTTCCTTAATTATATAATAATAATAAAAGGCATAAAAATATATTTCTAAAATTCACTGTAATTGAAAGGTTTAATACTTTTTGAGCCCATATTTCAAAAAAGTTATTCAATTCGAATGTAATCCGATAACTATTACCTTTATGGCGCACTTAGCCACATCAGTAGAAAATCTGCCTATTATGCCTATTATTAAAATAAAAAGTATTAGGAGGTAAATAAATAAATGACCAAAATGAGGATTGTTCATTTAAGCGTTATGAAACCGAAGAATATAAAATGAGAACTAAATTAAGCGACTGGCTCAAGAAGTCAGCTGCGGTCCACTTAGTGGCACTTAGATAAGAAGTGTTAGATGCAATCGAATGTATTTTTAAATAAATCTGCATGATGCTATACATCATTCTCAACACTCCTAGCCCTTGAATTTCGTATGCTGTAAGTATAACTGGGAAATTGGCTGAAATCACCCAAAACCTT